CTGCCGCCGCCGCTTCTTCGGGCCGCCGCCGCGGCCGGCCAACGCCCGTCAGCGGCTCGGGGCGCACGTGGTCCGGACGCTGAACGCGGCCTTTTGTGGCTACTACCGGACGCACTGCCCTGGCCAAGAGGCACTCCTGTGCCCTCCCGAAGAGCGTCCGCCCTTCGACCCCGCGGCAGCGAGCGCTTCAGGCGCGGCGCCGAGCTTGCGCCGCGCGAGGCGTGTCCGCCAGGCGCGCTCTCACGGCCGCGCGGGCTTCCCCTCCCCAGGCTGCGCTGACCTCCACGGCAGCTGCTGGTCGTGGGCGCTCGACGACCAGTGCGCCACCAACCCCGGATTCATGAACTCGACTTGCGCGCTCTCCTGCGAGCGCTGCCCGCCGCCACCGCCGTCGCGTTCGCCTCGGCCGCTGCCGCCCGCCGCCGAGAACCCCGCCGCCGCCACTGCCGCCGCCGCCGCCACCGCCGCAGCCGCCGCCTCGCCGCCCGCCATGTGCGAGAAGGAGAAGCCGTGTAGCGCCGATGCGCGGCCAGCCGGCGCTGCCGATGCCGCCGCGTCGCCACCTCGCGACGGTGCTGCGTCGATTGCGGACGCCCCGCCGCTGCCACCGCCACCGCCACCGCCGCCCCTCTCGATCGCCAAAGGGCACGCCGATGAGGGCCCGAGGCTGCGACGGGCGGTTGCAGAGGCGGAACGCGCCCCATCGGCATCCCTGACGCCCGACGCGGCGGAGGCGCTTGCACACACACACACACACACACACACACACACACACACACACACACACACACACACACACACACACACACACACACACACACACACACACACACACACACACACACACACACACACACACACACACACACACACACACACACACACACACACACACACACACACACCGCTCACCCACGCGCACCGGGCCTTGCACTTTGAATGCCGTGGGGCTCCTGTCGTTAGACGTGGAGACGCGAGGGTTGCCCCCCCTTGCCCCACCACCTCGTGTGTGTGGAGAAGTTTACCTTACCTTTACCTTACCTTAGGCGCTTGCTCGCCTCGAGGGTGCGGGGGACGTGAGGCGGCCCGCGGCGTCAGACATCACACCCGCGGCCATGGACAACTTGGCGAGGGTGGGTGGCAACGGCGCGTGGCGGCCGCGCGCGCCACTTGAGGCTTCCCCCGCGCAGCACCCTTCCCCCGTTTGGCGGGTAGGCGCTCCGAGGCCGTCGCTGCTGGCTCCACTCTGGAAGGCGTCCGCGAACCGGTCCGGCCGCTTCCTCAACGCGCCGCTGTGGAGCCACGCCCCCGCTGATCCGGACTCGCGCCTCCATCCGGCGCTCAAGGCCCGCCCAAGGCGCGATCGCGGGTCGGTGCCGCGGCCACGCCTGCCCGGCGCGGCGACGGTGCTACACGACGAGGCACTCCACTCGGACGAGGAGGGTCGCAACTTGGCGGCCGTGTCCATGCTCCCGTGGCTCCTCCTGTGCGGCGGGATGGCGGCCGC